TTTCTATGAAGCCACAATTAGCTATAGGGAGGATTTGGATCTTCCTGATTTAGTGTAATAAGGTTTACTTGTTAATAGTCTCAATTACTTAAACATATAACAAAAATTTGAATTTTCAAAATGCCAATTTTTAGTTTAAGAAAAAACTAGCCGATAAGTTTTGAAGCTTGAGTCATGAAAAATAAAACTTATTAGTTAACTTTTTTAAAATGATATAAAATTTTTTTGTTTTAGTATTTTGATAAGCAATTAACTGATTATAGATTAGGGTTCTATTTGAATAAGGTTTATTCGAATTATTCACTTTATTCGTTATGAATTTGAGTATTCGAATAAGAAAATTAATTCGAATAAATTTTTTAATTCGAATAAACTTTTTAATTCAAATAATTAATTCGAATTAAAGGTCAACTGTATTACGAATAATTCGAATAAAAATTTGTATTACGAATAGAAACCCTATTATAGATGATCTGTACCGTATAATATAATTGGTTGGATTTGAAAAGAATAAATCTATTTTTTTTTTTTTTTTTTTGCAAAAAAATTCTTATTTCGATTATTGGAGAAGAAAAAGTAAAAATTTATATTCACAATTCAAAAATTTGAATTGATAGTTAATTAATTGCAAAACAAAATTTTTTTATAAAACAAAGCTTTTTGAATCGCTCTTTGATTTGAAAAATAGAGAGCGACACTCATTATGGCTTTTATTTCTTTATTTTACTTTAGGTAAAAAAGACTGTGTTGTTGAAATCATATCAAATAAAAAATAAAAAAAAATAGATAATCAAAATGGTTAGAATTTCAGTTTTGGTATGTATATAATAAATTAATATATTGATGATAGTAATGGGTTAGTAATGCTGATGAATGGGGTTTTAAAATAAAATTAATAAATTTTTTATTATTATTAATAATAGAATGATTGTCTTAATAACATTGTTAATGCTGAAAAACGTGGCAAACGTCAAGTATTAGTTCGTCCATCATCAAAAGTGGTCATTAAGTTCTTGCGTGTAATGCAAAAACATGGTAATTAAATCAATTATCATATATAGCGTGTTTGATGATATATATACTAATTACCATTATACCACCGCTAACATATATATATACTTACGCTTATAATTCTGCATACATATGTGTATATAAAACACACGCGCACACCTACCTATTTCTCTCTTTAATTATATATATATTAAAGAATATATTGACGAATTTGAAGTGATTGATGATCATCGTTCAGGAAAAATTGTAATTCAATTAAATGGTCGCTTAAACAAATGTGGTGTCATTTCACCACGTTTCAATACAAAAATAGATGATATTGAAAAATGGGTTAATAATTTATTACCATCTCGTCAATTTGGTTTTTTAGGCAAGTATAAATAACAATAATAAAAATGATTGAAAAGTTTTTTTGGTGCGTTTTTATGTATTTTGTTAATGATATTTATTTTTTTTTTTGATATATAGTGTTGACTACTAGTGCTGGTATTATGGATCACCATGAGGCAAGAAGAAAACACACTGGTGGTAAAATTCTTGGTAAATATACTTTTTTTTCTTTTCTTCCTTTTTTCTTTGATTTTTTACTAATATATCTTATAATTATTATGGATTTTATTTATAGGATTTTTTTATTAAAATAAAATAATAATAAACATGTCATTACATTTGTTTAAATTAAATTAATATTATTATCAATTACAAAAAAATAAAAGTAATTATTATTATTATTAAAATTATTTAAGGTGAAAAATTTTACAGTTTGTTTTCTACAACTAACTATTAGTAAATGCTATGTAAATCAAACTATTTCTATAATAATTATGAACTTCTCTTTTCATCCCAGTTTATTACTCTTTTGTATAACGAACAAAGACAGAAAATACATGTAGAATGGAAGGTTCTCTATGGATGTATTGGTTTTTCTTGAAATCAATCAGTAATCAT